CAATGGTCATATATAGAATGATCTAAATCCTGAGTTCTTAACAAACTCATATTTATGGATTTGTGTCTTTTGATTTACTTAGTACGGATTCGAAGACCCTGAATCCTATTCCTTGTATTTTGGAGACATGATGAAGTAGGTAGCCGAGAATGTTATTATACGAGATGGAATCCATTCCTTCTTGAGAAAGAAACAGATAAATAATTCTCTTGAGTGTTGATTCGGTACTTGGATTAGTTAGAGCGCTCTGGTTCATGAATGTGTTTTATGAATCACTGTCCATTAGAGAATCGATGGTACTCAAGGATAAAGATATAATTAGAGAGGTTAGCGGATTGCACTTAGCTCTAATTATGAATTATTTATGGAGGATTGATCTATATGCAATGACTATATCAAATGGATACTTCATAGTTTAAAAGTAATTTATGTCTATAATTTCGAGGGTACAATTCTAACTTTATAGTGGAGTAACTATTGGAATTAATAGAATTAATTAAATAATTAAAGTGTTTAATTAATTATTAATTTTATTGGAGCTCAAAATTATAGGTTCATTTGTCCCCGCGTCGTCCTAGTAATTTTACAAGACACAAAGGGCAAAATGAAAATTTTGGAATTAGGGAATTCTAAAAATAAAACACTCAAGAATAATTAATTGAGAATTAATTATAAATTAAATAATGTGATTATTTAAATTTGAATTTTAGATCACTTATGTGATAGTGTTCACATAGTGTGAACGCAAGGCAAAGTGTGAACACATCTAGATATATCCATTTAAACTTATTTGATAAGTTGTTCAATTTTGAATTCAAATTAATTTAAGTTTGACTTAAATTGGAATTTAAATTTAAGTCAAAATTAGACTGCAGGATAAATGATGATTTTCTCTTCCTTCTATTTGGTGCCTACCACAGGAATAGGATCAACTAATGTTGGCCGGCCATATTGAGGATAAGGAGTAGGAGATTTTTGTTCTAAATTCAAACAAGAGATAATTAATAAACTTTATCACGGAGATAAAGATTGGATTCCTTCTAGGAGTTTGACTTCTACTCTATAAATAAGAGAATGATGGAAAATTGTGAGACATAATTTTTGTCCTAATTTTGAGTGGTGGCCGAATTTCCCTAAAGAGTGAGAGGACAAATTTTTCTCTAAAAATTTCACATCGTGCATGTGTTGGTGTTTTTAGAAATTTGAGTGTTTATTCTTACCCGTTTTACTGCAGTTGTGCCCACACACAAGTCTTGGTAAATTCTAGGAAATTACGTGGCAGGCTAGGGTTTTCTAAACACAAAGCTTTAGAGCAAGGATTATTCGTGGTCAAAGAACTCAAGTTATCATCCTTATCGACTGCTAGGTATAATTCACATTCGAGTTCTTATTAAATAAATTAATGTGATTAATTTATTCGTGTATAAATTAATATAATCTATAAAGTATCTCAAAGTTTTATGAAAATTTTTGTTATACATGATCCGCTACCCTCACGCTTCCGCATCCGAATTCGATTCAGAAACCAACAGAAGGCACGATGAAAATGGGCAATGGTGCAAGAGTTTCGGCAAAAGTAGTAGGAGAAGTTAGATTTCATTTTAAGGACAATAAATTTTTAGTTTTGAACAATGTTTATTTTAGTTCAGACATTCATAGAAATTTGATTTCTGTAGCTAGGCAATTCGAATAATTATTTAAAATTTATTTTGATAATGAATTTGTTCATATTTCTCAAAATGGTTTTAATATATATTTTGGACCTTTGGATGATAGTTTATATTGTATAAAACCAATACCTAACTCATTGCTTAACACTGAAATGTTCAAAGTTGCCGAACCTAAGAATAAGAAGTGAAAGATCTCTCATGATAATAACACATATCTGTGGCATCTTAGGTTTGGTCATATAAACCTAAATATGATTGAAAGACTGGTAAATGGTGGTCTTTTATATTAACTAAAAGTTGGTGAGCTTCCGGTTGTGAATCCTGTCTAGAAGGTAAAATGACCAAGAGGCCTTTCACGATGAAAGGAGAAAGAGCCATTGAACCTCTTCAACTGATACTTTCAGATGTATGTGGACTGTTAAGCTTTCAAGCAAGAGGAGGTTACAAATATTTTGTCACCTTTATTGATGATTATTCGAGATATGGTTATATTTACCTAATGCGACGGAAGTCTGAAACTTTTAAAAGGTTTAGAAAAAAAAAAAAAAAAACAAGCAGAAGTTGAAAAACAGTTAGGTAAACCAATTAAGGCCCCGTTCATTTCGCCGATTCGAGTTTAGAATTCGAGTTTTACTACAGTAAAAAGCTCTCAGAAACAGTCACATCTAACTTTTTTGCTACAGTAAAAAGCTCTTACAAAACGTCACATCTCAACTTGAATTAAAAACTCGAATCAGCGAACTAAATGGGCCCTAGACTCTTTGATCGGATCGATGGATGTATACCTGGATCAAGAGTTCAGGGATTTCTTGATTGAAAAAGGTGTGTCGTCACAACTGACAGCCCCTGGCACACCACAACATATTGGTCTTGTCGAAAGGAGAAATTAGACTTTGCTCGACATGATAAGATCATTGTTGAGTTTAAAATTAAACATGATAGGAGTGCTGTTGTCTTTAGACTCAACAAGCATACAAAAGTTGTTGAAGGAGATTCAACATGGATTAATGTAAGATTGCCCGTAGTCCTATGACACAACATTTCCAGTTATTTGTCATAGATACCTAAATTAGAAGAGAAAAAGAAAAAGGAATGGCAAACTTTCCCTATGCAAATTCAGCAGGGTGGGTCTCTCATATATGCATGGTTTATTCAAGACTTGATCTTAGCCTATCTAGTGAATGTTATCAGTATGTATATGGGAAATCCATGAAGAAATCATTGGCCGGAAGCTATGACATGGGTGTTCTGTCAAGTACTTAAAGTAAAGGGGACTCTTAAGCTAGAAATGCTCTGACAAGAAGGGAGCAAAAGATGATATTGTAGAATCAGATTATGTAGGGTGCTTAGACAATCTAAGTCTCTAACAGGTTATGCTTTCAAATTTTTTAGTCATGTTATTCGTTGGAAAAGCAAACTTATAACATATGATGTGTTTGTCCCATTACTAAGGCAAAATATATGGTTGTTATAAAATCTATAAAAGGAAGCTTTATGGATGCAAGGTTTGGTTGCAGCGTTGGGAGTTAAACAAGTCAAAGCCAATGTATTTTGTGATAGCGAAAGTGCAAGAAATCAGGTTTACGACATATTTATATGAGATTATATTTTATCAAAAAAAAATAATTATCAATGAGAAAATGAATATACAAAAGATTTCCACTAATAATAGTCATGTCGGCATGATTAAAAAACCACTGGTAGCTCCAGTGTTCAATACTTCAAGCACTGCTTGGACTTACTTCAAGAAGAATATGATTAAGCCCCAGAGAAATTGGAGTAAGGTCAGCAGCCTAGACATTTGTGGAAACATCTAAACTAGATGGGGAATTGTTGGAATTCTAGCATAGTTATTTATTAATATAGAGAGTTGAGCTGCCAGATGGTGAATGGTGGTGGAGGGAATTAAAACTCGTCGATAAATATTGGCTACAACGGTCATATTTATCAGTTGTTTAAAAATGTATTCTTATTATATGCTAAACTTTGTTTACTGAATCTACATAATTATCAATTTTATAGAGGAAAAAAGCTTGTAGAGAGACTTCAAAGAGTGTGTAATACATAATTATGAAAATATTTAGTGGAAACCCTGTCAAGAACGTAGCTTCACTTAAATGTATTGTATAATTCTTCTTACATTTTCAGATTTGGTGTGTTCTTGATAAAAAGAGTGAAATGAATTCATTGTCTCTTGATGTTATCTATGTTTATATTTGCTGCTACATTGGTCTCTTATTTCTAATAAAAGTCAATGTAAACTTATTAGTTCTTTATATAGAGTGGTTGGAGGAAGAGATTGTTAACTTTCTTCCCATGTGGGTTGCAATTTTATCTTTTTTAACAATTAAAGTAAAGCGTGCAGAACCATAGTAAAAATTATAGAACCATAGTAAAAATTATTGAAATTCAAAAGTTGCACTGTCAAAGTTGGCAATTCTCTCCTCCTTGACAAGGCCACAAGGGTAAGAACCTCAACCTATACAAAAATTTTCTTTTGGTCGGACGGTTAGACAGCTCTAACTTTCCCCAACCATCAACTTTAGGCAACCAAATCTATAAGCTTGTCTATCCTCACAAAAAAATTTTGTCCAACCATCTCCTCCATTTGTTATGATTATAAAAATTCCCCTAAACTATGATTTGGGTAACACTGCGCCACCTGATCTTCAAAACGCAATATCTATTCCCTCGAACTATAAATTGTTAACAAAAATGCTTCTTCCATTAGTATTTTTGATGGAATCACAAATGTTGATTGTTACCAAACAGTTTAGTGACACTGACAATTGCTCTTCTACCCATAGTTCTTGGATATATATTTTCTAAAAGAATACAATTTAATTTTAATCTAATATGAAAATAAATAAAATAGAACAATAAAAAATTTAATTTTACTCTTCTAATTAATTAATTAAATGAAAATTACTTAGAAAGTTAAGTTTTAATTTGTAGAACATGTAAGATTACCAAAACACCCCCAATTATATGAGCCACTTTTCTATTTGAAAACTTAGGGAAGGAGCATTTTTGTTAATGATTCATAATTCGAGGGAGACAGGTGTTGCATTTTAAAGAATGGGGGCACAATGTTACACAGGTCATAATTCAGGAGAATTTTGTAACTAATCCTTCAATTATTGGCACTGGGATTACACTTGAGGAATCACCAAAGGTGATGAAAGAGAAATTCTACATAATATTGGCACTTATTTACCAACAATGAATTTAAGTATATTGCTTCTGTTAGTTGTACATCCTCATAAGGACTTTTTGGTTAGTCCAAAAATCCGCAGACAGTAGTACTAGAGTTCAAATTTCCATTCTTCAACGGAAAAAGAGAGACAAAATCTCAGGAAACAATTACAGATTGGAGTAAAGAACAAATTTCCTGATTACACAAGGGCAGCTAACCAGCCATTAGTTTTTGAAGAATGGCCTGTCAAGAGTCAAACATAAACAACGCGATGTATCAAATAAATGAAAGTACTGGAACACATGAAATTAAAATCACAACAATAAATGCAATTTGAACAGATGGTTAGCGCAGCAAATTATTAAATTTCTGATCACCAAGCAATTTAATTGAAATAAATTCATGCATTAGAGCAAACACAATGCAATGTACATTCACTGATTACTTTGAAGGACTTGGAATAAAAAGTTATTATCTAGGCAGCCATATTTAAACACATAATCGGGTGAGTAGCTTACAGGACAGGAACGATATGATTTCAGTCCCTGATGCAATTCATGAGATGAGACTAAAAGCTTTACTGGACGAAACTCAATCGACTGATTGTTTCCTCTGCTGTCTGTAAAACTGATTAATTCGCGTTGTAAAAGGTGTTCAAATGCCTGCAAAGAACAGAAGAATAAAATCAAAATGTACAGAAACTTATCTGCAACTTAATACCACTTTAAGATTCATCTACATCCACAAGTTTTGTGGAGAGCTACACACCCGTAAGCATACGTTTTGTGCATAATAATCTGATGTTTGGAAAGAATCATGTACGGTTTTGTACTCTGCAATGTAGAACATTGATGTAAGTTGTTGGTAATTGATAACTTAATCGTAGCAATAAAACTAAAACTCTCAAAATCAGGTTTACCTTTCATTATTGAGTTGAAGTTATACGAGTTTTGCTCTTTAATCTCCAACTTCTTCATGCATACCAGGATATAGAGTTCCAATATGGAGCAATCTGTTCCACATGTCAGCATATGCACTGAAAACCGTCAATTCCGTTACAGAGAGCGGGGAGGAAGGAGATTAGCAAAGACCACCGGTTTTCATTGTACTTTCAATGAAGCAAAAGTTCTTTTATCTTTTTCTTCTTTTTTCTTATTAAGTATATTACTTCGGAAATTGTACGACTTGGTTCATTGTTTGGTAACTCAAGTAGCAATCGTCGATAGGAAAACAATTAATAAGTATGAAAGGAAAAGTTTCTGATATCTCTACCTTTTATGCATTCCAGCTTAGGCTGCCTTTGGACATTCGATAGCGCAGTTTTGAAGTTCTCCAGTGACAAGAATCCAGTTACCAAATCCATGTTAGAAACTGCGCGAAATCTAGAATCATAATGTATGAAAGTTTAGAAGATGATGAAATACGACATATGTTTAAAAGGTTACATGAAACACCATACTTCTGATAAAGAGAAGAAACTTACAGAAATTTCAATAAATAGTTGACTGTGGAATCAGTGTTTATGTATGTGTTAAGAACATCTTTAAATCTCTCATCTGCTAAGATATTCTGTAATATGTTAAGAAAGTCTCCGGATATGAATGCACAGGTATAATTCATGGGAAAAGGATTGTTACGTTTTACTAAGGCAACACATTACACTATCCTATCTAAACTAATACGTGTAACTAGTTATACTGATACTACTGGTGGGATTTTTGAAATGAATAGCCGCCTGCAAAACCTTACGGGTGGCGGTGCTTCCATATTTGATTAAAAGACATTCTTTTTAAGTAACCTTATTTCTGTAGTTTCTCATTAACAGAAATAGTCAATATGAGGATACTTGTAACTTTGCATTGAACTGAACAGTATAGTCTTGGGGAAAGGTTGAGTCCGTTGGCAATAACAAAATATTTTCCAACAACCTGCATCACTAGAAATCAAAGAACTTAGAAGAAAAGCATTTATTATGCCAAAATATCGTCTTTTAGATGGGATCCACAGTGGCATCCTTGATTTGGAAAGTAGAACATTTTACCGCTGCATGTCTTCCTTATTGGGTGGAAGGAACAATAGCTTTCTATGTGAAAAACGAGATCTTACTCTTTTCTCCAAAAGCTGATCCGCATCCTGCACAGCTTTCAAAATTATTAACTAGAAGCTCATAGAACCATACTCTGAGGATGCAATCTCTCTATGTATTCACTTATATTAAACCAAAGAAAGAACTCTTGGGTCTTATATTTCAGTTCATGTTTTCACAAAAGTAGCTTGCAAAGGGACCAGCAACCACTGTTCAAAAAAAGATTTTATTCACCCCTTTGCTGCTTCAAAAATAAACATTTTAGTAATCTCTACATGATTTTGATGGAAATTTCTTCATTGCATAAACTTAAAAAATACAATGATGAAATGAACTTAAAAGCAACATACCAATCGACAACTCACGCCAATAACAACAGCTTGTGACGATACTGATTGCATAGCATCTAGCAAACTATAAAGTAATCGTTGTTTTCCCTGCAAAGAATCCAAAATGGAAAGTAATAAATATATAATCAGAAAATTCAAAAACCATATTGAAACTTTTAACACAAGCACAACATAAGTTTAATATCTGCCTTGTCAGAATGCATCAAGGTGTTCTTTCTTCAAGAAAACCAAAAGTTGATCTGATTTAATTAATCTTGAAAAGTCAAGCTCTTTAAGGATGTAAATGCATGTTCAGCTTGTAAGCCATATTCTGTTGCAGATCTCGTTTGTTGATGCATATACCGAGTGGCATGTCTTACAATCTAGCATTGGTTTCTTGCTCTACTTGTTCTTACCTTTAGTTTTTAGCTATTTCTCATTCCTTATTGATGAATAAGAATCTTATCCTGTTGCTATAGCTATGTTTTTCACCCCCCAACTTAAGGTTACGAAATTGTATGCATGAGGCTTCCAATTCCCTCCTCTAGATCTCTTACATTTATGTGTTTCCTAGTTACTTCTGAACATGTCATGTATGGGGATTCCATCTACTTCTTTTGATTAATATTATTCCTCTCTATGGTGTGCATTTGTATAGTTATGTCTTAGCTGTAGATGACCAGACAATCTTAACAACTTTTCTAATGTCAACAAAAAGTTTAAACTAGGTGCTAAAGCATTTCTTATTTCATCTGATTTTTCATAGCGAATCTCATGATTATTAGTGTCTTACGAGGCAAAAGATTATGTCCACAAAAAGAATCCTAAGTTCGTCCAAGGCCCTTCAATAGCTTATTGAATAACTCCATCTATAGTTGTAAAAATGAAAGTTCAATTTTGTGAAATACTTGATGCCTCAAACCTTAAGGTGACTTGAAGGTTATCTTTCACCTCATTTCGGTTAAGAGGTCGTGCCTAGTGGTTCTGTGGTTAAGGTACTTGGCCCTGGTCTTCTAAATGGAAGAGGCTTTCAATGCCCCCTAATCAGTTCCCGTAAGAACAAGTAACTAGATATGAAAGCGCCTTCCAGAAAAAAACAAAAAAAACAATAAAACAATAAAAATAATTTGAAGGTAGATGTCAAATTGAAAGCTTCAAGAACAAGAAATGGCATGTGAAAGGTTGAAGGGACGAGGAATCTTACCTGAGAAAATAGGTCAAATTCATCCAGTACAAAAATAATTGTTTTATGAGCTAATCCACACTCCCTAAAAAGAAAGAGCACACTTATAGAATATCATAAACCACTTGTCAAACAATTGCATAGAACTAACGTCATGCTTACCGTAGCATGGCTATCATGAATTGCGAATTATCATCAAATGACGCCTGCAAAATTCATCTCAAAATAAAAATCCATAAAATCTACATCTATAAAGCTTCATTGCAACACCAAGCAAGCAAAATATCCAAATTACCATTTTGGAGAACAATAGCTGATGCTCCACACACAACTGCCTAGCAATTTCCTGAATTATGACCAAGAATCATATTAAGCAAACAACTAAAGAGCAATATTGGTAAGAAAATTTCATCGTGTATCTGTAATGTAGACCAAAGTAACTCGAATTCTTTTAATCAAAATTTTAAGAAATTAAGCATGATTAACAATCAAGTTGAGGAGAAAGTAAAATAAGATGTGTAACCTTGAACGCGCAATTGTCATCACTGTGCAAAAGTCCACTTAGCTTTATCTGAAACATACATCCCTAAAAAATCAGTTACATATTTGGAAAAGATTCTGTCTACAATTTTCCAGTATAAATATAGGAATTCAAAAATACAACATGTATGAGTTAGTGTGGTATATCTTTTAGTATCCTGTAGTAAAAGAGAAAAAGTTCGAGAAGACAAGGTCAACAAGCATACCACTGAAATCATATCAGGAAATTCTAGTAACAAATCACTGATAACAAGCTCCAGCACCTAAAACACAATTCAATCAAAAAACAAATAAATAAGTAAATAAATGAAAAATGATAAGAAAAAATCAATAAAGTACGAATTGAATTTTGCATACCGCAATTTTCCCGGAACCACGGGGGCCTAGAAGCAAGATGGAGTTGTTACAAGCCTCAGTGACGGAACTTGATATTATGAATTTCAATTTACTGCAGAATTAGGAGAACAAGTTAAAAAGAAAAAAATTTAATTCAGACAATAAATTAAAATGAAATGCCAAAATGCTTATAAAGTCTGGGCTTCTTTCCGGATCAAGATGAGATTGTCTATTGACGATTTTCATTTGTGTTGCAACAACATTTTCTCGGGAGCCAAACAGATAGAAATGAGACCTGTAATTGGAGTCGGGAGAATCGGAGAAAGGTTTGAAGACGAAACTGGGATCGCAGAGTCTTCTCCGCAGAAGACCTAGGGCTTTCTCTGCTGGATTTTCTCGCCCCATCAGGACTGAAAGTCGATTTCTTTTCCGTGAGGAGAGAGAGAGAAATGGCGGGAAAGAAGAGGAACAAAAGGGCACACCAGGGCTTATATATAGGGCCTCGTGGGCCAGGCAAGAGATGAGCTCACCACTACTGTTTTACTTGGGCTAGATCCTTTTGTTTGGGCCTCAACAAGAGCCCACATACATTTTAGATTTGAGTATTTACGCCCACTAAATTCATTAATACCCTTACTAATTTATAATTTATATTCATTATAATTTTATCATATATTAAAATTAAATTAAAACCCATTAACATATCACACATTAATTACAAATGGAAGTAATATTTTTTTTAAAAAATAAAATATTTTTAAAGGAGTTTAAAAACATTCCCCCACTTTTTATTTTATATTAAACCAAAATTAATCTGAAAAGAAGAAACGGAGAACAAGTTTCATTAGTTTTACCTATTGGCAATATAATTAGCCAAAGCAGTGAAAGGAGCAGTTTTGTCATGACCAATGTCGGAGAGTTGTTCTTGTACTTCTTTGTTCAAAGAAGAAGAAGAAAAAGGAGATAAGAAGACAATGACAAATAAAAGTAAAGAGAATCACATTAATTATAAAAAAATATAATATAATATTAATAGTTTAAAGGGATTTTATTATTTTATAAATCAAATGAAGAGTAAAATTAGGATTTAGGTGGGGATATGAAAGGCTTAAATTAGATATTATGAACATTATATTTATAAAAGGATAGATTTTCCAAATCTTTATTAGATGAGTGTTTAGTGGAGACACTTATGAAGTTTTGGGTGCAAAATAACTATTTTTTTAGATTTACGCTGATGGCATTGATAGAAGACTACCGCGCGTTTTTGCTTGAGTGCTCTCGGTTCTTTTGTTTTGTTTTGTTTTGTTTATGCTTTTGTTCTTTTTTATTTATTTATTTATTTATTTTTGAGTTAATCTTATAAATAGTCCCGGAAGTTTAACTTTAATTTCACTTTAGTCTCTAACTTTTAAAACATCTCACAATTAGTTTCTAAGGTTTTTCTCTATTTCAGCTTCAGTTTTTATGTTAGCTTGGTGTTATTTGATGGAATTTATGAAAATTAAGGATTAAAATTGAAAATACATAAAGTTTAAGGACTAAAATAATACAAAAAAAATTTAATAAATTTTAACTGTTTCCAATTTTGATTCTTAATTTATATATATTTCATCAAATTTTAACGTCCAATTAACGAAAAGACTGAAACTAAAATAAATAAAAGGTCAATAATTAAGAAGTCAACGACTAAATAAGAATTTAAAGTAAATTTTAGATATCATTTATGGAATTAACCCTTTATTTATTTATTTATTTATTATTATTATTATTATTATTTTGAGAATCTTGCCTCAAATTTAGTCACCATTTTAGTGTGTTTTTCCAACAATTAAAATTAAACAAAAAAAAAGATATTGCAAACATTTTTTAGAATTGACTTCAAACTAGTCATAGCTTTTCCCTAGACAAGAAGCTCCCATTGATAAAGAAAATTTAGTCACTGTGTTATGTATGTACTTTTTAAGCTTCAAAAATATTTAAACAGAAGTTTCATTTAGGACAATCTAAATTTAGTTGAAACATTTAGAGAGTATACAACGATCTTAGAATGAGGATAGACTTACCTCAAACCCCAATATTTTGTAAATATGTTATTCTTAAAATGAATATTTTGTAAATATGTTATTCTTAAAAAAAGTATATTTGTCTTAAGAACGGCAGAACGGCTTATCCTTCATAATTATTATTCTTGCAAATTTCAAATATTGTCAAGGTTTTCTCTTTATTTTTCTTTCCCTCACTCTTCCTAACATTACCCCTCCTAGTGTCAACACCCGGCATCGAACTCCCGAGAGGGACCCCCACCCTTAGGGGGCCTATCTGCAAAGGAACATCATGTGGTCCGACCCCACAACACAGTGTTTGGGTATGCAAATCCTGCGAAAATGTTGCCCTCACAGCAAGGAGCCGAGCTCTCCACATCGGCACGAGGCCGTTATGCTCAAATATGCAAATCATCTTGTTGTGATGTCATGAGCCTCACCGCGTGCACCACACCACCCTTGATGTCGGGCCTGAGGTCGAATCTCACCATCACTGATGATTTTTTGGGGTTTTTTTCATGTGATTTGTTTTGTACTTTTTGTGGAATATATATATATATATATATTTTTTATACAAACTTTTTGTGGAATATTCTAGTAAGAAATAACTGATTTTAGTGTTTTTTTCATGCTTTTTAGAAATAGCATTTGTCAACCTCACAGTTGTCGAAATTTTGGCGTCACAATGGACTACCTTCAAAAACACAAAATATTTAGACAATATGCTATAATTTTTAAGGTTAGATTGACTTTTATCATGAGTATTAAAACTGTTATAAAATATATCATAATAATATTATTTAAATTTTATGTATTGAGTAAAATTATATTTATATTTTTATGTATTTGATTTAATATATTTTGATTTTATAAGAATTTTATAATTTTTTACATATATATTTATATTTTTTATAAATTTTATAATTTTTAAATATTTTTACTTATAATATTCTCTGTAATAATTTATATTTTTTAACATATGTCAACTCTTTAAAATTTATGGTGTTCCTGTTAAGTGCCCAAAACGTAAAGTGTCCTCTCCAAACATCACCAATAAGATACCAATAGCTCTCGATTGGCAATCGTAAAGTATACCGACGGTCTCTGACAAGCAACTGCAAGATGTCACAATAGGGTACTGTTGGTCACTAATTGTCTACCATTAATTGCTGGATTTTTTAGTATCACGTTTAGTACCTCCTAAAGTAGGATACTAATTAGTTCGAGTAAAATTTGTAATAAATTAATGGAGAAATGAGATAAATACTCATAAAATGTATAAGTTTTATAACATCTGGTAAAATTAATTAAGATTAATTAATTTAATTTAATTGTTAGTGTTAATTAATTTGATATTAGTGAAAGATTTTCAGTTATAATTATCACATAAAAGATTTTTCTTTTTTTAAAAAATAATTATTTTTAAAATTGATGCTTTTGTCCTTCGATCAGTTTTAGGTGTGTAGCACCTTGAAGAATTAAAAAAGATTAATTAAGGTAATTAAGATTTATTAGTGTGCCTAATTTGATTTAAATAATTAATTATTGATTATTAAATGTTTCTTACGTGTAAATTTAAATAATTTTAAGGTATTTAAATATTTTCAGTAATTATATTTTTATCCCAAAAGTGCGTGTAGACACATTTTCTGGACTCTCTTTTAATTTTTGTGACACATGTTTTTCTTTTTCTTTTCTTTTCCTTTTCCTTTTTACTTCTTTCCTTTTTCCTTTTCATGCACCTCACTCACTCTCTCCTCTCTCATTTTCTCACTCTCTCTCTCTCCCCCCTTTTTGCTTCAAATCAACCGAATTTCGAACCAAAGAAGAATTTTAAGAAGTTTTCAACGTCAAAAGAAGGATTTGAGATAAGATTTCTGAAAAATCCTCTCTTGAATCTCGAATTTGTTTATTAGAAAACCTAATTTTTGTTCGAAATGGATTTTCATGGATTTTGAGTAAAATCATGGTAGAAATTCAGGATTTTTAGTTCTATGGACTTGATTTAATAACTAGAACCTGGATTTGGTTGTTTCCCCTTGAAATGTTTCAAATTTGGACTTGAAATTGTAGGTTTTGGCCGGATTTTCTTCGGATCGGCCCTGTCGGTCGAGTTGTCAGGCTTCCACCGGTCGACCTATGCAGTCGACCGGATTGTACTCCACAGATCGACTTCTGCGGTTAACTGGATTGCACACCACCCGTCGACCGGTGGTGTTGCACTGCTCTGTCACCGTTCGACCGGTGTACACGGGGTTTGACCCTGTTTTGACCTCGATTTTTGAAGAGAGCCCAATTTAGCTTTATTTGGGGATCTAGAATGAATGGATTAGCATCTTTAATCCATGTTTTGGAATCAAAACCCTTGGAATGATGATTTGAAACATGAAATGGTTTATGAAACTTAAAATTTGATTAAGGCACACTAATAGGAAATCAAAAGGTATGATTGGGATTGAAATTGCTTTAGGAATGAGAATTGGATCCTAAAGTTTTGTTTTGTATCAGTGCTAGTTGAGGACTCAGATTGAGGGGCTTTGAGGAATTGAAAGCCAGAATAGTGCAATGCTAGCCATAGGTTTGGTACTTGAGAGGTAGGATTTCTTATCCCTTTCTTTGCTTGCATGTTTTCAAAAGAGTTTTGGCCTTACAAATGTTTTAAAGAAAGGGCATGTTTGCGAAAGAAAAGTATTTCAAAAATAGTAGCTTGATTTTAGCTATTGGAATCATAATGAACTATTTCAGAAAGTTTAATAAATGATTTCTTAAGACAAGAGATCTTGCGAATCGGTAAACCAACTGATGGCCTAGATAGGATATGGAGAGTATATCCTTAGGGGTAGAACCCGAAACCCGGCCCGGGGGTGATAAGGCTTGTGCTTGTGGTTGTATAAGTAATTTATCATAGTATAAATTACTTACTGATGCCTGTAATACGGAGATTTTCAGTTATATTTTCTTTCAGAAAAAAGATGTGAGGTTCCGGCTGTTGTGTTGGAACTAAATGTCTTATTTACTTGCTCATTTATTTATTTACTTGCTTACTCATTTATTTACTTGTTTATAAAGTTATTTCAAATTACATCATACTAGGCATTTCGCTCACGTTTTATTATTTTATAAATATTAACCCCTCCCAGGCAACTCTAGAAGCAGTGCGGAGTAGCTGAGTTAATTGCTACCGTCTGATTTAGTGAGGATTGTGATCATCCTCCTTGTGTATGAATGTAAGAATTATAACTTCTGTAAACTCTGAATCTTTAGATTCCTAGACTGTGGTTGATGTCTGTAATGTTATTTACATATTCATGTATGTACAATGCTGCATATCCTGTGGGTGAAGCCCTAAACGATGTTGGAGGCTTGAGTTTTAGCCTCTTGTAATCAGAAATTACGGGCAACCCCGTAACTTTTTTGTAATTTATTTTCAGCCAAATAGTGGGGCTCGTTTGGAAATTTCTTTATATTTTACTTTCATTTTTTATTATCATGATTATAAATGTTTAATTACTTTTATAATCCCGTTTAACCCCTAAACGAGCCTCCACGTCACTAACCCCGGCTTCGGGACGTGACAAGGTGTCAGTAACTAATTTTCTAAAATAAGAATAGTGAGTTATTCCATATTCTATTTAGATTAGACTTTGAAGTCTAATCATCAAATTTACACAGAAAACTCAAGCACATTTTCCTTTTTTCTTTTCTTTTTCTTTCTTTTCTCTTTTTCCTTTCATTTCCTGATATTTATTCTTTCTCTCTTCCTTTCCTTCTCTCCCTCACGCTGACTCTCTCTCTCCCTCCCTCTCGATTTTCTCTCTTTCCCTCCATGGGAGGTGTTGTCCAAGCTTCTAAATAGAGGGCTTTAGCTCTATTTTTATGGGCAATTCAACCTTAAAGTTGATTTCAAGATGTGAAGAAGTTTGAGGTAGGGCTTCTCTTAATTTTATATATTTATTTACTAAATTGAGATTTTACCTTGATTATAGTTTCAGTATTGTGAATTTTTGAACATAGTGGAAAAACTGTCAAATGTACTTACTGGACAGGATCGGTTCTTTTGGATTCTGAGAGTTCTTGGTGATGAACTTCAGTAAATGGTTTTCATATTTAGAAACTAGACATCCTAAGCTTCGAATAGTCGCAAGAATCACCTCAAACGGACAAGTATAACTTAAGTTATGTATGTTTAAAGTTAAACATGATTTTTAGAAATTTTATAGAAAAACAGCCACGTGTTGCTCTGGTATGATGTATTTTTGGAGAATTAACAGACCCAAAACTAAGATTATTATATCTCTTTGAAAGTCCCTAGATGCCTACTTCGATTAGACACTAATTTGTAATTTTTAGGACTGTGTAGAATATTTTATGATTATTCTCATAACAGTCGCTAAAATTATCTTTTTTAAGAATTGATAAAACAAGAACTGAGACCCTTACTTTTTGAAATAGAATTGCTGCACCTAAACCATTGTTACTACCATTTAGAACATATTATTAGTGACGTGTGGGAGTTAAAATCACGTCATTTAGAGTTTTGTAACCCGAGTTGTGCGCATTGGATTCATGTAGAAACTTCCTAAAAGCTGTCAAAATCAGAAAAGAATAGAATTTTGATTTCTTAAAAACTATTTTTGAGGCATTTAGAGAGCTCAGATTTAGGCATCTGATAGCTCGTTAGAAAGATCTACGTGTCTAATTTCTTATAGAATTTATTTTAGAATTTTTGGAGGCTTAAGTAATATCTTATAAATTTTTCCATCTAAGTTGATGAATCTGTGAATTTACTGTTTTAAGGAAAATATAGTTTTGAGTTAGAAATTGATTTATGGTGCAACGATTGATAGTTTAGAGTCTTTGAGGTTATTTTGACACTACATATGAGACACTTAATGGAATACAGAAAAAGTGTTAAAAGAGGATAAATTAACACTTGACATACGTGGTGGAAACATAATAGATTTTATTGGAATTACACTTTTACATTGTTGGTTGTGCATACACAAATACCTTACGGAAAATTGAACGTAGCACGTTCATTTCTTGAGTTTTGGACTTATTTGAGCATGAGATTACATTCCTCTTCATTTTTCAAGCATATTTATCACTTCTCGGTGTAAAATCCAATCTTTCACCGACGTTGACACTTTAAAAATGATTCTGAAAAATATATTTGTGTGTGTATATATATATATATATAGCGATTATATATATATATATTAAAAACCTTCCCGAAAACCTGATTTTCGCGAATCATGATTTTCGAAAGTAAATTTTAGAAAACAGATTAAATCTTGAATTGAGATAATTCGAGCATGATATATATGAGTTTTCAAACACTATTTAATGAGCATTTTAGATAGTTGACCTCAGCCTGATGATCATAGAGATTGGGATAAGGAGATCGTATCCTTAGGGGCAGGTCTCGAAACCCGTACGGGCCACTCCACAGTGTGGGTGGTGATTTGGCTTTGTACTAAACTACGCATCGGTATTTTGAAAGAGTATTTCAAACTACTGGCATATGAATTTTATCTTCACTTATTTTTAAAATTGTTTGGATATTCTAGTGTCTAATAGAATTAAAAATACCCAGTATTTGTAGACTACTTAGACACCGGATACCTTATCACTTTTGAAATGGATTTGAAAATGATATAGTATTTTGAAAGAGCTTTTAAATACTTGATTATCCGCTTGACTCTATATTTGACTGCATTAGTCATGATTATGTGTTTTTCACATATTATCATCTCCTGCATTTGAGTTATGCATTTTATTTTCGATGGTATTCGAGTCTTTATGATTATTTCATTTTCTTTGTTTTATTGTCGTTATCCCTTTTTCTCCTACTAGGCATTTGGCTCACCCCTGCTTTAAATGTTTTCCCCCCTCCAGAGTTAGCAGGTGATTTGCAGCGTTCATGTTGATGCCAATGGATTGAAGGCTCGAGATTCAATGTGGTTCGTTTTATTCTGAATTTGCAGTTTTTAATTCTGAGTTGTACTATATTTCTGTATATATACTGTATTGATCGACATTGTCCTATAGTTGTATTATTTTAAATTTTATGGACTGTTTTAATATCATTTGTAAAAGAAAGACTCCAGAGCAATATATTTTGAATATTACATATTTATTATTCTTAAAGTTTGTTAATTAATCTCATTTAATTAAATATAATTTTTCCAATAATCACGGTCCCTCCTCCTTTGGGGTCGTGACAAGTCTAGATTTTTATTTTTAACTCTTGCTCAATATTTTTTTTAATCAAATAACTATATTAGTTAAAAAAATATTAAATAAGAGTAAATGATAAAAATTCAGACACATAAATTCTAAGAGCAAATTTAACAATTTTCTCTAAATTGTAATAATCCTTATGTTCCACGGTGGAATAGAAATTTTTAAAAGGAAAACAAATTACACATGGCATAAATTTAATCCGAAGCATAGGTAGGAAGTTAAAATGATAATTTTAACAAGGTTTTTGTAAGTGTTTGAAATGAAGATTCAAACCAATATCCAGTTGAAAGTTATTTCAAAAAGTTTTAGTTGAGATTTAGAAAAGTTTTAAGAGAAACTTTTATTTAGTTAAAAAAAAATTATTCCGCTAATTTAAGTATTTTATGTTAAGTTCAAAATGATTTACGTTAAGATTAAGATTATAAAATTAATGTAGTCAGGATCATTACAGCTGTAATAAATATATGAATTTTCAAATGAGAAAATTAAAATGATAATTTAAACAAGAGTTTTTTTGTAAGTGTTTGAAATGAAGATTTAAACTGATATCCAGTTGAAAGTTACTTTAAAAGGTTTTAGTTGAGATTTAAAAAAATTTAAAAAGAAACTTTTATTTCGTAAAAAATATTTATTCTGCTAATCTAAATATTTTATGTTAAGTTTAAAATTATTTACATTAAGATCAAGATTATAAAATTAACATTATAAAGTTATGTAACGGCCATGTAGTTATGATCGTTACAATAAGCATAGGTTTATTTGTGACGTTTTTCGTAAGAACTCAATCATCCTTTTTTGTTCTTCAACCAAAATTTGTAATAAACCAAAAAAGAAAAGAAAATAATTAAAAAAAAGAAGCAAAATCCAAAAATATCGGCGGCCATAGCAGAAGTCGTATTACTTCCGTAATAAGGACCAGTCGTTCAATCGTTTCAGATTTTCCCCACTGATACGAACCCAACACAAAACAATAACAACAAACAACTCAAACAAGAAAGAAGAAGAAGAAGAAGAAGAAGAAGAAACAGTTAGAGAGAGAGAAAAACATGGGAAGCACTAGCGGTGCTCTCATTTCCCAGTTGCAGTTCAACCTCAAGCTCAACAAGCAGTGCTGCTTTGAGCGCCTTGGCACTATCAAATCTCATCTCAACTCCGTGCAATCCCACAATCCAAGGAGGCCAATCTTGAGTCTTCGCACTCGCAGGGATTCTAGAAGCTTCGTTTGCTTTGCCGTCGACGACGATTTGAGAGAGAAGAAGCAGATTGAGCTGGGTGGTGGGTCCGGGATTGCCTCCGCTCTCGAGGACAGGCCTGGTGAGACCCTGATTTCTTAATTTTGTCAAGAAATTCCTGTATTTGGGTGTCCAAAATTCACGGGTTTTCTCTTTCTAAATTCAAGAAACATGGGTTTTGGTTGCAGTAGTTTGTTCTTCAATTTGGAAGTTGATTGACTGTTTCATGATTTATGAAATTCTCAGTGACCCAATATGGTAATCATTTTGCTTCCATCTAATTTCTAATTTGGTTCAACACTAGGTGGTTTTGTACATAAAATTAAGGTTTAGGTTGGGAATATTTTTTAGTGTGCTTAGTGCCATGGTGTTGGATAATAGCTAATAATTTTTTAAGCTTTTTTCCCGTATAAATCAGGTTTTTACATTCATCAAATTTACAGATTATGTTAAAATTAATGCCTGTGCGAGGCTGTACAACTAGTAGACTTTATGCTCCATTGGTTCTCACAAAAGAGAATATCCAAACAGATTGAATGTCCTAACCTCTTGATTTTTTTTTTCCCTTTTTGAGAAGTTTGTATTGGGTATAAAACAACATGGTTTCGAATCATTAATTCATATTGAAATCTTGTTTGTCATATTAAAAAAGAAACTGCTGTTTAATGAAATTTGATGAAAATCTGACAGTTCGCTTACCAATATGGTTTTTTTCCTAATCCTACCAGTCTTCTCCTTTACCTCAAGTTTTTGGTTGATTGATGTGAGCTAAACTTCATTGAAGTTTAGTTTTTCACTTTCGAATGTTTATATCTTTTGATTTGAGCTAACAAACAGTGGTGTTGTGTTATATGTATTAAGTTTAAAGCTAAATTTATCTCTATGGTCCATTTTGCAGATGTTGCTGCTAGTTCAAGAGAAGAAACATTAGGAAGTCTTGACCAAGATAAGGAGGACGGTCCAATTTATGATTTTTTATATCCTGACAAAGAGCTTCTCCCAGATGATAAAGAAATGAGTTTATTTGATCATCTTGAAGAGCTGCGTGAGAGACTTTTTGTATCAATTTTGGCAGTTGGAGCCGCTATTTTGGGTTGCTTTGCATTTTCTAAAGATCTGATAGTGATTCTTGAAGCTCCAGTTAAAACACAGGGTGTACGGTTCTTGCAGCTTGCTCCTGGCGAGTTTTTCTTCACGTCTTTAAAGGTTAGAATGGATGAAATATCTCTCTTCTCTTTTAATATCATTGTTACTTGTACGTCAAGTCTAAAGTTAATTGGATGGCTTAACAAGAGAAGAAATTAGCTTCCTTTGCCTCTTTTTCCATTTTTTTTAATTAGAAATTACCCTTTTTGCCAATTGATTCGTTGCAAGCAATTGGTAGAATGTTGATTCTATGGAACAATCAGCGTATTTCGTGAAAAACAAGCATTTGGAACTCGTTCTAAAATGATTTTGTTTTTTGTATGAAAATGAAAATGAAAACGTTTTCAATTTTAGACAGAAACCATTAACGTCTCTCTCTTTCTCTCTGCTCAAGAGAGGAGAAAACGAAAACAAAAAATGAAAAACGACTAAAAGTCGTTTTTCATTTCTCCCTCATTTTACACTAAACCAAAAAATCGTTTTCATATCCATTTTTTGTCTTTATTACGCCAAACGCCGTTTTGAAAACGTTTTCATTTTTTCTTTCTTGAAAAACGTGGAAAACAAAAACGGGATCAATTCCAAACACAGCAACATATCCTTGAGGGCGATTTTCTCCTTTTGCGTAGTTAATTCTGGCAAGTAAGACAGATGGGCTGGATTTCGGTTGATTAGAAAAGCATAGTGGAATCTCTATTTTGAAAACACGGTGTATATTCTTGCATTTCGATTAAGTGCGTGTCCCAAACCTGTTTGTGTCAATAATACGTTTTGCCCACTTTTATAATATAAACTGTTTCCATTTACTATTCTCGTGTCCTTGCACCTTACCAGGATCTACCCGTTGTCAAATTTTAAATAAAATGTTGCTAGTAGTTGCAACTATATAATGTGCTGGATTTCTAACTTTGCCGTTTCTTCAGTCTAGCGAAGCTTGTCAATCAATGATTTACTTCAGCTAGTTTTTAACAAACCAGAGTTTGTATCATCTTGTGCATTTAGTCAATGATTCTGTCTTCACAGTATAACTTGGAACTCTTCCAGACTTCAGAGTGATTTGTACATCCAAGCACAGCACAGTAAAGAATCGGCAGCGAATAAAAATTTTGAATCCTTTTTAATTGCTTCTTCGCAGGTATCAGGATATTGCGGCCTTCTCCTAGGAAGCCCTGTCATTCTCTATGAGATTATAGCCTTTGTTCTTCCAGGTTTAACAAAAGCAGAAAGAAGATTTCTGGGGCCAATTGTTTTAGGTTCTTCGGTACTTTTCTATGCTGGTATTGTCTTCTCCTATTTGGTTCTAGCGCCAGCTGCTTTGACTTTCTTCGTTACTTATGCGGAAGGGGCTGTGGAATCTTTATGGTCCATTGATCAGTACTTTGAGTTTATCCTTGTCCTCATGTTCAGCACAGGCTTGTCTTTCCAGGTAACTGCTATTCTTTCAAGTTCCTAATTTGTCAATCTTGTTTGCATTTTCGTTTTTCATATTTGTTTAAACTATTGTGGACCAATATTCTTTCGTGTATATGTAGCCCACTATGCCACTCTATTGGAGATCTAAGACCGATAAATCCTTCACAAAGTTAAAACTTAGATGTCAGGGAACGGTTTGCTAAAAGCTTGTTAACCTTTGAATTGAATTTCATTTTTTTCCTTATCATCTATAACTCGGGTTGCAAACCGGGGACTACCCTTTTTAGCTATGTTCTTTATGTTTTGAACCATGATCCTTATTTTGGCTACATCAGTGGATACCAGCAAAAACTGCATGACTAAATCTCACAGTTGAATGCCCGGGAAAGTGAAACCTGAGTCATAATGGTTGCCTTCTTTACATATGCCGATATGCGCGTACCAAATTTGAAAATCCTATCTAAACTATCATCTAATACTTACACTTTTGGTATTGTTTTACAGGTTCCAGTTATACAGTTTCTATTGGGGCAAGTGGGTCTTTTCACAGGAGACCAAATGCTGTCGATTTGGAGATACGTTGTGGTTGGTGCAGTTGTGGTAGCTGCCGTGCTCACACCATCAACTGACCCACTCACTCAGATGCTTTTGGCAACACCTCTACTTGGTCTCTACTTGGGTGGTGCCTGGATGGTTAAGCTTGCAGGGAAGTGAACATTCAAAAGCATGATTTGTTCCGCGTGGAGTCGACTAGTGGAGAGTTTACAAAGGACCCCGTATATTCACAACATTATGTAACATATATATGTTATTCAGAGGGAGGAACCAAAATTGCCAATGTTGATCATCTAATGTGCTGATCATTGTAGACGTTTTCCAGCGAAATATACAGTCAATGGTTCTTTCCCAGTACAAAACGGTAGATCTTGATTGTTATTGATGAAGTAATAACAAAAAAAAAAAAAAAAAAAAAAGACCCCATTTTTATTGATCGTCTCTTGCAAAATCTGCCGCATGGTATCTAAATTCACACTACAAAAAGATTACTACTCTTACCCCTAATTGTTCAAATCAACATCTGTACTCTGGTTGCTAGATCTGACGGACCTGAGCAATCTATCTCGGATTTCAACTGTGCCAGTGAGCTCTTCAGACCACCGCATGCTTGAATAAAAGCGTCTGAGGTTCCTTTAAGGCTTTCTATTTCTCTTTCCATGTCATCTACCATGCTGGAGATTTTTTCTACTGCTCCCTTCATAATAGCAACTTCTTGTGGGGGATAAAGAGAGGCTCCAAGCTCATCAATCTCTGTTCCAATTCCCTGACAATGTTTTAACAGTTTTTCTAGAGAATCCACAAAATCACCAGTGTCGTCTCGGCTCTCGAGCTTGAGCAATCCTGTGATGGAGCGCATAAGTTCCTTTACCAGAACAAGTGCCTCAGACACCACAACAATTGCAGACCGAGCAACTTTCATTTCTTCAGGTGACAGGTCACTTCCAAGATCATCCTCATTGAAGCCATCATCATCTTGAGCCTCACTTTCTGCGTTTTCATCTGTCGTGTCTGTCGAACCTGGCTTGAGCTCCTTCATTTCACGGAGAACATCCTTCATAGATACTGCAACCTGTGTCATTACTCGCCCTATTGCTGCAACGTTGGTGGTAGGAATCTTCTTAAGAGCAGAACATGCTTCCCATACTGCACCGACCAGCTGCGGGATTGAGGATTCATTTTCTTTGCCTGTTCCTGTCCATTTTTATTCACGAAGAAAAAGATAGTGTTGTTTTCAGTTCAACAAAAATGGATTATTCCAACCAAATCATCACGTTACTGAACATGCAGCGGACTGTAATAATACCATTATCTTGACCAAAATCATTAGTGACTTGGAAAAAAAAAAAAAAAAGTTCTTAATATAAGCACCTTCCAAAAGGCACTTAAAAAATGTATTCTTACAAGGCTTCAACTCCACATAACAAAGGAAATACTATCCGCAATGAAAAAGATTGCATTGCGCTACACATATAAAGAGTAGACAGTACTGATGTGTTTGGGATCAAATACCCCGGTCCCATAACGAACACTTCGCCATGAAACCAGAAAGCCCAAAATCTGTTCCAAAGCTCCAACTTCTGATGAAAAGCAGAACCAGAAATGCAAGGAACAATACCCAGGCTATTTCTGTCAACAGTAAGCTTCCAGAAAAATATTAAATTTGACTGAACTATAAGATTGGACTACGATATGAAATGTTATGTGAAGATTCTAACACTTTATAATGAGAGATCATACAAAAGCAAACGCTATAAAATGAAAAATATCAACAAGAGGATATCTGAAAGGGCAAACATTGTGACCCAAGAATTCACCAAAACAAAAAGTAGAATCATTTAACACAAATAAAATAACAGACAAGCAAGTCGATCTGACAAAATTATCTGAAAGTGATTTGAAGAAGGCATTCCAAATGATTATTTCAACAAAATAATCAAATAGTTAAAAACTTGCTTCAAATTTTAAATACAAGATAACCATCATTGGCACTATTAGCCTCTGATTTGACAACTTTTAGTCCCCGTAGAAAGCCTAATCTAGAACCCCGGGCTCTTGATTATATATAAAAGTCATACACCACAGGATTAGATAAATAAGTGTTCTGATAGACGGGACAAATGTAACCATCAAGTAGAAATGTAACAAACTTGTGCATACAGATTGTCTTGCAATGTCATGCTCATGAGTCTCGAGATGTCTAGCAAAAGAAGAGAGATTACCAAGAGAAACGATAGCATCCTTAATTAACTTGTAACTGCAGTCAACAATTTTCTTCACGGCCTGAAGGATAAAAGAAGACAAGGTAGGCCCTGCACCAACTGTACTCCCGTGGGAGAGTAGGAGAAAACCGACTAGCACGTTGAAGTATGATTCCATACTCTCTTTAACTTCAGTAGCTTGTGGTTCTTTTCCAGTCCAAAGCATTCCAACTGCATCATAAATTAAGTCACAGTTAATTACTTGATCCTGAGGTACCATACTACATGAAAAGGAGGGTTCTTGCAACTGAATTGCAAATTAAAACTTGTCCCTTTCCTAAAGAATATGCAAACAGGAAAGAATACTTAAAATTTGTTCTTTTCAGAAACACAAGGCAGTTGTCAGCAACTTAGCTCCTGCCTCTCCCTCCCTTGTCCAGAAACCATTTTGGACGCATATAAAGTAAATTATGGTTTCATCAGACACCTAATAAAGTGGGTTCGGGAGATTTCTATATATATATATATATATATATAAAGTTTTCATCAAACACCAAATCTCCAACATAATTAATCCCGTAAAGCTATATAGCAATATTAAATCATGCAATAAATGCATATTATGATAAAATTGACAATGACTCCACTGTTTTGAGTGACAATTTGATGTGTCAAGTAGATACTTGAAGCCCAAGAAGCGGATGTTATAATGCTGATAGAGTTTGGTATTTATATGAAACAACAGATTATAAACTATGGACTTAATCAGATGACAAACATTTATCATAAGATCAAGCGCACCATTAATGTCATTTATGTTATACAACCATACACAACGATATGAAAGAATAAAAGCTCATGATCGTCATGCAACAAGAATTTGTTTATATGTGAATACTCAAAAGGGAATAAAAATTATTACAGCTTGGATACCCTATTTAAATTCCTTAAGAAAAGACCAATATCCAAATCTCTTATGATTTACAATTTTTTTTTTTTGAAAGGTTATGATTTACAATTTTACATATTCCCAAACTTCACTATCCAAGATCTGTTTGGTTCACAGTTTGAACCACAATTCAACCCTTTTGCTACAGTGTTTTCGCTCACAAAACTTTGAAATTTTATTTCAAACTTTCGATTCAAACCTATGAACGATAGGGGAGTGAAATCAGAATACTCCTAAAGTTTCAAATTAAGCTTAATTAAATATTCAAAAACAGAAGACAAATTAACCGAAAGCTAAAAGGCAAGAAAAAAGAGAAGGAAGAATATTACCAATGGTGGCTTGTTTAGACACTTGGTCACCCATCTTCGCAGCGTCGTCCCAGCTCACCTTCTTGAGGGTAGAAGCTGGAGCTTGGTCGAAAATCTACTTCCATTCGCATAGAAAATACAAACGAATCACAAAATTATTCACCCAAACATATACACTATATGTATATGCATATACATATATATATATATATGTATATATATAATATACACACACGAACCTGGAAGGTTTCATGGATGGCGTTGAGGTGAGAATGCAGAGTCCCAAGAAGTCTGTCTTTCTCGGCGTTTTCCCCCATCTCTCTCTCTGCAAGAACGAATGGGTGTTGAAACAGCGAGCTTTGGAGCACTGATCAAGGGTTTTTTAGTTGAAAAGTGACCAAGAAATAAGAAATACGCTTCTTTTATATTCCTTTCTTTATTTTTATTTTATTTTGAGATAACTTAGGTAAATAACAGTTTTTTTTTTACTGTCTTTTTTAATAAATTTCTATACTTATAATAAATTTTCGTAAATAGAAACTAAATTAAGTAAATAGTAAATTTTAAAACTATTTGAAGTAAATAGTAATTTACTGTTTAAATGTTTTATTTACGACGGATAGAAAATAATTTACATGGTAAAAAATAATTATTTATGTAGAAAGAATTTTTTTACCAATCATAAAAAGAAAATTTACGTGGAAAAAAATCTTTTTACTAACGTAAATAAAAAATTTAAATTGTAAATTATTATTTACTTTAAATAATTTTAAAATCTACTATTTACTTAATTTAATTTCATAATTAAAAATCTTTCTTAATTAAATAGTGTCTGAATTTGAGGCTAATTTAAGCATGTACATAATTAAATTTTTAGGGCCCGTTTGTTTCATATACTCCAACTCAAAATATTAATTCTACTACAGTATTTCGGAATAAAAAATTATAATTTGAGTATACTTTCCAAATGGGCCTTTAAAATTTTAATAAATAACAATATTTTGTTTTAATGATAAATCGTGATAAATAAATTAATAACGTAATTAGTTTTTTTTACTTATAAACTTATTTATTAACTATCTTATATATGATTTTTTTTAATTATACAATAATTTATTTAATACAAAGTTTTGAAAAACACTTTAATAAATATGTTATCTATTACATTATTTATCTAAAATACTTAGTAAACATATTATTTAAATATATTATTTATCAATTATTTTCTTAATGAATACATTGTTTGCCATATTTTCTTAGTAAATATATTACTTACGGATCTTTTCACTTAACCAGTAAATACATTGTTTACTTAGGCCTTTTTCATTTCAACGGTTCGAATTTGCAATTCCATTTTTGCTACAGTTAAAAGATCTTACAAAAAGTTACATCTAACTTTTTTGTTATAATTAAAAGCTCTCAAATAAAGTCACATCTTAGCTCAAATTAAAAACTCGAATCGGCAAACTGAACGAGGCCTTAACATTTTAGCAATTATTTTTACTCAATTCTACATTATTTATCTAATAGTTACCTCATTTTACACTTAGTAAATAGATAGTAAAAAAATTACATTTTTATCAATTTATTTACTTAATAAATGCATAATTATCCCAATACTTACCAATTTATTTACTTAATACGCATTATTCATCTAACATTTACCAATTTTTGCTGCTAGTGAATAGATTATTTAGCTAATATTTAGTACGTAGAAAAATTATTTACGAATTAATTTACTTAATAAATGCATCATTTACTGATTTATTTTACTTAGCAAACACATTTGCTGTGTTTAGAATTGTTCTTGTTTTTATTTTTCACGTTTTAAAAAAAAAATTAAAACGATTTTAAAATGGCATTTGGCACAATCAAAGACAAAAAACGGAAATGAAACGATTTTTGGTTTAGTGTAAAACAGGAGAAAAATAAAAAATGACTTTTAGTCGTTTTTCATTTTTTATTTTCGTTTTCTCTTCTCTCGAGCAGAGAGAGAGACATTAATAGTTTTTTTTATACTGAAAATAATTTCTTGATAAAACTACCAAACGTATTTTTAAAAATGATTTATGTCTTAGATTGAAAATGTTTTCATTTCTATTTGCATACAAAAAACAAAATCATTTTAGAATAAGATCCAAATGCACCCATTATTTGGTAAGAGGATTCGTACCATGGTTCGAATCATGGTTCGTAGCTCGCTACAGTATTTTCTCTTACAAAAAACATACGTAAACCAATAATGATTCTGAATCATAATTCTGAATCTGTGAACCAAACGTCTAGTGATATTCCCCAGATTGGAATCCTAACTCCTGTTTCGGTCCCAAACACCGACTCTCACCCCATCTTGGATGTAGACCCCAACATCAGATCTCAACCACACCCCCAGCCTGATCCTAACCCCGACCCAGGATCTTAGCATGATCCTACCAATTAGGCGAATTGGTAGTGTTGGCAAGCGATTTGGATTTTTTTTTTGTCAAAACCACCGATAAAATTAAAAAATAGATTTTTTTTCTTTTAAATGTGTGATGTTTTTGACATAAATTAAATTAAACCAAAGCACTCATAAAATAGTTAGGTTGTTTAATTTGGGCGATCTAAGTTTAAAATTAAAAAAAGTTTTTAATAATTTACAAAAATTATGAAACCGATAACTATAAAAATAAAGATAAAATTCAAGTTTACAATATAATTAAAAAATAACAAGGGTAATCTTGATAAAATACTCTTTAAAAGTGCATGGATCAGAATTTTTATCATTTATTCTTGATTCATAACCTTTTTAGTCAAATAATTACACTAAAAGGGTATTTATCAAGAGTAAGGAGTAAATGTCCAGACTCATGTACTCTCAAAGGTAAATGCTCTATTGTTTTTCAAATAACCTAAATGTCCAAAAGTTCGCCATTTAGGGCTTGCTTGTTTTATGGGTTCAAACCCATCTAGCTATTGGTTCACAAATTTGAATTTAAAAAGTTCTGTCATAGTGTTTTTTCTCACAAAATTTAAATTAAAGTTTAAACTATAACTTTGAATTCACATTCTAAACGGGTACTTAAAATTTTAATACAAAATAATAAAAATGTGATATGGTATATTTTATTATTGTGGAATCTCCATTATGACCAATAAAAATGAACATATATTAAAAAAAATTAAAAATTAAAAATTATTTATTTCTTTTTTTTCTTGCGCGAATTATTGGGGGTTTGGGGTGTTCAAACTGCTAACCAAACCGCCTGTCAAAATTAGGCTAGAAAATTGCGCAAACCACCCGATTTGATTTGGATTAGACGATTTGGGTGGCGAATATTTTTAACATTTATACTGTCAATCCCCAAACTTTGTCTTAGACCTTGTTCCAGATCTCGCCTATAGTTTCAGATATCGACCTCAGTTCCGAACCCTGCCTCGGGTGAGTACTTGGTGACGAGACCGGAGTGGACAAAGTCAGGGTTTGAGACCGATACTCGGCTGCTCTCGTTTTTGATTTTTCAAAAAAGTTCTTACTGTCCTCGCATCAAATCTCTCTCCATTTTGAAGATCTCAGGCCCCTTCTCCCCCTCCTTTCCAAAATAGGATATACCCAAGAGAATGACCAAGAGGAAGAGCTTGGCCACAAAACTGTAGATAAGAGTGCGGAGCGCACTCAAAGATCGTTGTACCAAAATATTGATATGATTTAAACGACCAAGCATAACATTACATTTGACATGTAGGCCCCGTTTATTTCACTTATTTAAGTTTTATTATAGTAAAAAATTTTAAAAAATAATTATACATTTAATTTTTTTACTACAGTAAAAAATTAATTTAAATTAAAAAATCAAATTAAGAAACTAAACGGACCTATAAAAAAAATACAACTCAACTCTGAAGTACATCAGTAGACGTTACAATAACACGTAGATGAGTTGCTGGTGCAATCACGCACTTTACTGCCCACTTCTAATAAACATAATTAATAAGTACTTTTGATCATCATTTGGAATCATATAACTGGAAAGAGTTCAATTATTGATGTAATACAATACGATGGTAAACAAATGCGATATAATTTGATATAATATTTTAGTCCGACGCATACCAAGTATACATTATACAAAAATTATGTAATACGATATAATATGATAAAATACAATAATATAATATGGTGCATCAATCAAACCTGATAATTAGATGCACCATTATTGTTAGGGTGACCGTTCAGAAGGGCAGACGTCAGGATATAAGTTAGCTAACGAAGATGATGCTGAACTGAAATAATTTTAAAGTTAATAATAGAGTATGCGAGCTATTCAGGTGGACTGCATAATAACTATCAAATATTCAGTAAAGGTCAAGTGGCCAACATAAGTCCCTCCCACAACCTAAGAAAATAAAAAAGTAAAAGAAAACACGTCTCTTTTTCAACATTTGTACTTTATTCACTCGATAACGTAATGAATTAAAAGCAATAGTAAAGCTCACAATTTGACGGTTAATCATCAAAGAATCCAAAATCAACGCACTTCTAGTACAAGACTTTGAACTATCTGCGCCAACCTACAACATGAACTGAAGTTATTAGCGAATGCTGCAAAAAAGAAATGGCAAAATTTGTTAATTTTTTTCTATTAAATGTGATATTATTTTCCTCCAAATGAACTGCAAGAAACTCAGCTTAGTAGATTTCTCTCTTCAATTGATCTCTTATCTCCAAGAAATCTTCCCTCAAATATCCTTTCCCTTGCCATTCTTGCCTGCAATATTAAGACGCCCCATTATCTATTTTACAAAAAAAAGAGAACAAATTTCGTTAGAAAGATACAAATAGGAAGCAAAATTGTGCAAAATTTCAAGGAAATTGAAAAGTGTTAGATTACAGAAGCCTTAAGAGAATCAAAGTAGAGGGTAGACCTTCTTTTCCCAATTGGTACAAAATGTTAGGACAGAAAGGAGAAATGTTTGCACAATGGAACCGACTAAAATTCCAATCCAAAGTCCCTTTCCTCTCAAGTTCAACCAGAAACCTAACACAGGCGGAAACCGGAATTCCGATGAAATAATATGCCCCCAAGTTGACAAAAGCCCCCAGGTCCTGCCACTCACATCCCCTGGCAACACCTGATATAGAAAAGGACAACAAAAACAAAAGAATACTACATTAATCATAACAAAAATTTGTGTAATAAAAATGCTTCAACAATGTGTGGGAGAAAGAAGAAACCTGCACGGACTCCTTGTACACTGTCAAATATAACAGCTAAACAAACTAGAGGAGCCATGCTAGCCACATAGCCCATAACTTCCTTCTCATTGCTGAAGATGTAACCAAAAGATCTTCGGCCGCCAAAGAGAGCTGAGCATACAATAACCGCCTCC